GGTGATGGATAAGGATAATGAAGTTGCAATGCACGCTTGCCAGTTACTTACAGCTATTTACAGGTTATATTTTTTTTGAGATGATACCTGAAAATTGTTATCTATTTTCAAATTTTGAAACAGGTTATGAGAAGAATTCTGTATGTGTTGCTTGATTGAATGTGTAGTGAGATTGATGTATGTTTGAACTTTTATATTGTAGAGTTTTCCCGGGTGTATTGGAGGTGAAAGATTGTGTACCAATCTACGAATTGGTCTATTGTAATCATCGAGGTTTAGCGCAAGCTGCAGGCGAATTCTTGAACACAAAGGTGATCGGATCGATCTAAATGCAGATATTTTTGCTTTTTATTTTTTGAAGTAATGTATTTTGAAAGCGATAACATTAACTGATTCACTGTTAAGGTATTTCAACATCGTGCAAGTGTCAGTACGGCAAGTCAACGAGGACACGAAAACGCTGAATTAATAATTGATTTGATTCAGTTCTTCATTGAAGGCGATGTGAGTTTATTGACGATCAGTAAATTTTATGCGAAGTTTTGGAATATTTCGGTTTTTTTTGCTGCTACGTGGATGTCTGGCAAGGAAATTCCCCTGGCGTTACCAGTCATTGCTTCGAGGAGTTGTCGATTCATGCGAACGAACGTTTGAAATTTGTGAAATTTTAGTGTCATGATCATGCAGCGTATTTGGTAGATGCATTAATTGATACAAATTCAATGATGAAAGACTGGAAGACGATGGCTGATCTGCTACTATCCGGAGAAGGTTTATTTGCATTTCTTTCAGTCTGATTGCAGCAATTCTCATTGTGAATTTGTGAAGATATCCTATAGTGGTTTAGTTGAATAAACTGTAAAGCAATAAATAAGTTAATGCAATTAAACAATCTCATGTGAATATTTTGAAATTTAAAAAATTATTGGTAATTTGGTTTTTTTGCAGCCGATCGTTTCGATAGTGAACTGATCGAAGTGTTGGTTTGTGCAGTGAGGCAAGCAGCCAGCGGTGAAGGACCGGTTGGCAGATCGCAACTGAAGAAAGCTGCTGCAACACAGAAGGAAGCACGTGTTCTCAACGAAGATAAAGCAAAGATCTCCGAAGTTCTGATTCCAGTATTACCTCAACTTCTTCACAGAGTAAGTGTTAATATTATTTTAGCAGTCAGTTGTTTAGTGCTTATTCGAAAGAGTTCGGCTTTTGGAAAGCCATGTTTCGGTGGTGGTGATTATGGAATGATGTTAAGGATGCGGCTTATTTAGAATATAAAGCATCGGTTAATGAGTTAACAGTTTGGCTTTCACAGGGATTGCGTTTTCACCATTTTGAAGAGTTTCGATGAATTAAGGATGACTGAGAATTCCGTGTTTTAGTTCATCGCCGATCGTGATAAGGTGGCAAATTTGATTACGATTGCGATGCATTTCCAGTTGGAAATTTATTTGGCGGGGCGACTTGAAAAGGTTGGCGTTTGTTGATAATGATTTGTTCTGTGTTCAGTGATCCGTCGTGTATTTGAGAATGTTTTTGATTTGAACTCATCAGCAGTTTCTTGTTTCTTGTACACATGAATTTTACTTTAGCATCTGGATGACCTAATGGACGTTATGGAGAGTATCGTTGAGAAACATGCGGACGATGAAGTGCTTCAGAATGTGGCTGAAGTGATCACTTATTTTACGACAAATATTGCGGTTGGTTTGTTCTTCTCTTGTTGAAATTTCATTCTGATTAGTGATATTGCTTTGGAACCTTATTGCCGTTCGAAGAATAAATAAAATGAATTGGACGACCAGTTAGGTGATTGNTGAATGAATTGAAAAGAAAACTTGAAGGTTGCGCAACATACAGAAACACATCGACTGAAAATGTTGGACGGTCTAGCACTGCAGTTGAGACATTCCGTACAACGTTTTCACCGAGAAGCAACGTTGGATGAAGAAGACGATGCAGCAATGCTAGCTGCTTTTCGCAAAATTACTGCTTTCGCAATGTGAGTTACCTCTTGACACGTCGTACTTTTAGCTAATGTTCATAATGGATTACTTGGATGTAATACAGATTCTGTTCGGCAAGGATTTTGATCAAACGCGTAGATTTAGTATAAAGATGCGAATAAAATAGCTGTGTTCATCGAGGATTTTATTGAGATTTGCTAACTGATTGTCTATTTTATTGAAATCAGATTTATTGAGTAACTGTTTGTTGAGGATTGACTTTTATTCCATCATGACTAATCTCAAATAGAGTCAATCTGAAATGAAATGGAAGTAATTCATAGTAAGGAAGAAGAGTAGTTTTACTTTGGATGATCAAATTTTTTGATTCGGATTTGACTACTCATTTTCAGGTTCGAAGATCTCAAGAAATGGCAGTTGTGGGATCAAGCGCTAAGTGTTCTAATAAATCCAGAGGATAAACAGGCGTCGAGGGATGTTTGCGAAAAAGCCGTTCTTCTTTTATTCAACACGCTGGCGTGGGATTTGCATCGGTTGATCACTGAGCAGGAGCCGAATAAAACTGTGCGTTTTGAGTCACTCATATTCGCTGCATTCTTCGAGTTATTTTTTGTAGGAACTGCTCTCTTGCAGTGTAGTATTTACGAGAGGAAATTGGTTTTTTTGATGGTTTTTGGCGAATGATTTTTGCTTCTATAGTCAAATCATCGAAAGGATCCCGTTCAATGAAAAGTTTTGTTTTTTATCTTTTCCTTTTTTCAGGAAGCCAATAAACTCTTGAAGAAGCACCGTGATCAGTTTTTGCATATGATCAGCAATGTTCTAATCAGTGGAGCGTCTGGAGTGGAGAATGTTCGTTGCTTTTACAGATGATCTCAGATCGTTTTTCGCCAGTTTCTGTTTTTGTTAACGATATATGAGATTTGTTCTCGCTTCTATTTCAGTGCATTTCAGGCTTTTCTTTGTCTGGTTGACACGTTGATAATGTTCAATCCCCCCGACAAAAGTCTCGAATACCAACTGGATCCACAAACTGTTTTGCGCATAAACGCGTTCGTAGTGGATAATGTTTTTGTGGAGGAAAATGAATCGGGTATGCGATATTACCTTGAAATGATTTCTTTTTTTTGTTATTATAATATATTATCATCTGAATGCTGTTATAATGCTGTTGTTATATATTATCATCGATATTATATTATATATTAAAGATGCTCGAATATTTGCACCAGGAATGGTTTTGGTTTTCATTTTTTTGTTTGTTTGTTCAGATCTGACAATGGATCAGCAATCACAGATTGAGTTGATGCATAAGAGACGTAATCTGTTGGCGCAGTACAGTAAATTGATTCTGCACGGCATACTCGACATTCAAAACGCAGCAAATGTGTTGCGCTTCTACACTAAAGTTCGTTGATTTGTTCGAATTTTGAAAATTTTTACGAACAATCAATTTTTTGAAACTAATTCTCAGTTGAACCATTTGGTTCCGTTTGATTGCAGTTCATTGCTTTCACGGATACTTCACACTTGACAGTTGATAACTGAATAGGTGATGATGGTATTATGGCAATAGAGTTTTATTATTTCATAGCGTTCACATAAAAATGTTGAATTTTCATTTGCAAAATTGTTTATAAAGGTATCTAGAATGAGCGTTTCGTTTTCATTTCAGTTCTACACGGACTTTGGTGACATCCTAAAGGTACTCATCAACAAATGCCGAGAACTTGACAAACTGGGATGCGCAAAAGCGGTCGTTGTGTCATTGCATGACTTCTACGAGGACATCAAGGTGAGTTGATGACTGCTATTTTTGGTTCACGTGTTTTTACTGTGTTGCTGAAATGTTGAAACGTCAATTCACGACAGCACATCGAAAGCAATCTGTTCGATGCACTAAATGAACATAAAAAAGAGATTTAAAAATGAATGAATAATTTTTACGTGCTCAGTTTGAATGTTGTCGGTAGTTTCAGCGTAAATCGGAAGGCGGTTATGTGGACCCGAATTCAGACGGCTTCTCGGCATTACGTGAACTTGCCAAACGCCTGTCGGGTGTTTTCGGCTCAGATCCGATAAAAAGTCGTGAGCCACTTGCAGTTGTTCATAGGTTCGTTCGTTTTTTGAGATCAGTGGGAACGGAAATTTTTTAACGCATAGTAATTGCAATCAAATGAAGTTGTTAGGGAACTGACAAAATAGCAAGCGATTATCAGTTTGAAATTCGTTTGAAAAATTAGTGAATTCGAAAGTGAGTTGCTTCAGATAGGTATTTCTCAGTTGTGTGTTTGGGGAAATGAGATGAAATCGATTCGTATGGTTTGTTTTGGTTTTTTCATTAAAGAGAGGAAGAGATCGACTATTTGGCGAGAGTTAAATGCATTCTATTTTCTAGAGAAGGAATTCTGTATGCTCTGAAATCCGAGAAGGGAGCTCGACCAGAAAATATCTCGTTCTTGGAAGTTCTTATCGAATTCAGCGGTAAATTAATGCGGCAAGATAAACAGTCTATGTTGGTTTTACATTTTTTTCAAGCAACACTTTCGATTTTTCCTATTCTTATGGATTTTTCGATATTGTCTGTGAGGCAAGCATTGCCAGCAGAAGTGAATGTTGTATGTTTTTTTTTCAGTTTGAAATATCTGGAACGGCATGGAACAGATTTTGGCACGGAGGAACCATACATCTTATATAAGGGATCTTTACAGGTTAGATCTCGTTCAGCAGTTATTTACCATATTCGAAAATTCTGTTCATTCACTTCAAATTGACGTTTCATTTGATTTCATGCACTTACTTATTACAGTGGGACCGAAATGAAGAATTAACGGCTCTGCGACCTGCTCCAGCTCGAGGTCGTGGGCGAGGCCGTGGCAGGGGACGGGGTACGCCAACTCCGTCAGTATACGGTGCAGATGACTGAGCTTTCAGTTTGAAACAACTGTGAATGTTGACCGCCTCTCATCATTTCATTTTGTTTTCATTGTCATTTGTTTTACATTCCGTATCGGTGCTTGTTGAATGATTTTAATTGCTGCTTCATAAAAATCTTTCTTCGAGTGTTTTATGCCAATTTTTTTCGGAATTTTTCTGTAGGAAACCGTTTTGTCCACATTTTCTAGGCAGACACTTTTTTGTCCATTTTCGGACGTCCAGAATTTCGTTAAATTTGATTGATGTCAGGTATTTCTTGACGAAATACTTCACTGAAGCTTCAGTAGAATGTTTCGTTTCCAAAAGCAGCTATTTGATCATGTTTTTCATTGTATATTAATATTGTGAACGATTTCATCTTTTGCAGTGTTTAGAATGATTATCACTGTTGTAATCGTTTTCATTTTTATTACTGTCATTACATTTTTGAATTTGTCTCTGCTGTACTCTGTTTAATCCTTATTTTCTTACCGAATTGATACTCAGAAAGAATCCTCACAGTGCTCCGTAAATTGTAACAGAATTCATTGCATTCTGAACCTCATCAGTGCTGATAAATTTCCTTGACGTATTGAATGTTGTGAATTGAATGTTATGAACTCATCCAATTGTTCACGACGTCGAGCAAATAATACAAACAATCTGGATTTCCAAGATTTGAACGAATAGATACGTGTGGTTGTGCGTGATCGAAGTAGCTAAGGGAATGCATGCTTATCAACTGGAAAACAACGGCTTTAAGAAGTCAATGAAGACATATATAAATTTGAGAGATAACTACATGAGGTGATTGAAAGAAGTCGAAAGGAAATTGTAAGAGTTCAAAAAAAATATCATGGAACTGAATTGTTACTTTAGGAATGTAGAATAAATTAATCAGTATGAATAACTCTGCAATGAAGCCAAATATAGGACAGTTGAAGCGTTTGAATTGTGCAATTTCATGAAAATTAAAGGGAATGTCTCCGGAATATGGGGTGAATTTTCGGAGTATTTGGAGAAGAATATTCCCAAAAATATTCATTTCCGTTTTATTATGTAAAATTCTTCATATCTCCAAAGGATCATCTGAATTAGTTTGAATCAAGACGTCCTAGTTGGAATTAAGCAGAATGAAGTCATGAAGATGAATAAATTATTAGGTTGCAACAAACCAAAGATAACGATTTCACTTATTAATTGATAACGCGCTGTTAATTGGCGTACAACCAATATCATGTAATCACTCTCGAACAAGCACTAAACAGCTGAATGAACTGTTCCTCCTCCTTGAATCCTCATTATTCTTCAATGAAACTCTCACACAAAAGCGATTTTCCATTTTTTCATACCTAATAATAGGATATTTGCATTTAAAATATCAACTTTGTCCTTACAAAAACCTTGGCCACGTGGATTTTATAAGTAAAATCTCTTTTAGCGAATATTTGATGACTATTTTCGGATTATTTCAATCGAACTTCCGAAGTGAAATCGTTCTTTATTTTATTTTCATTCTTAACAATTCTTTGCTCACATGTAACCAATCACTGTCTCATCAGAGTTTCAATTCTCCAGCCACGAAAAGACATTTACAGATTTTCTGGGAAAAATATATCGGGTGAAATAAATAATCTTTTTTATTTGACAGATTCATGATACGATGATTCAGAATCAGTTGTTTCGTGCTGATGTGATTCGCCTCTATAAAACACTCTATTACCTTGGTAAAGAATACCCGAAGGGCTCGTTATGGTTCCATAATAAACTTAAGGTGCGTTATGTTTCTTCATTGCTATTTGACGTTTCCGATCAATTTATCGATTGATCCGACCGATCAACTTAATCAATAAGTTATCAACTGCCAACTGAAGAGAAATGATCAAATGAATCGCGGAAAAATTCGGTATGGAACAGGGAATTTCCATCTCATTTTTTTCGATAGTTCTTCAATATTTTATTTCGCGTATTCGTTTACCGATCGGTTACTCAACGTATTCCCACTTCCAGAACGCCTTCGTTCGCAACAAAGATGAAACGGATCCAGAAAAGATCAAAGCGTTAATAGCGAAAGGCAATTATGTGGTGAAAGAACTTGAAAGTATGTATTACTTACGCAAATATCGAACACTTAAGAAACGTTACTATGAATGATGTACAATAATGTGACCTTACATGCAAATGTTGTTCATGTATTTTTCACGATTTATCCTCTATCCTCGAGTGTACATTTTCTGAATCTATTATCTGTCTTCATTCCATTTGTTTGTAATCTGTTCGAAGATTTATCTTTATTTGTGCTGTTTTGGAACGACCATTTTATTGGGTATTTCCATAATATTTGTTTACCTCATGTAAATAGTTCGTTCAATAAGTTTTTTCTTAATTGAACAGCTGTTGGGTTGTGCTTTTGAATGTGCTTGAATATGCATTTGAATATGCGAAAGTCGTCTTTGATTTGAATCATAGTCACATTTGTGACCCTCCACTGCACTTCTCTCTGGATTGCAACATAACAAAGCTGCAGTTAGCTTCTAAAAATGTTAATCTTTGGCTACGAATAAAATGATAATGTGTAGGTGATTCGAGTAATTGTGAATAATTCCATATATTTCGATTCCTTCATTTAAATGCATTATCAAGTGAACATATCATTTCAGCATTTTAAGCAATAAAGTTTTGACCGTATGTCCCATTCGCCTTCTGGACGAATTCATATTATCGCCCGTTTATGATGTGTAGTGAGTGATGTTTATGACTGATATATTGTCATGTTTATGAGTGTATAATTAAGCTCTTTGGTCGAACATGACAATTTTTTAAAGTCTCAACTACTTGATCATCACGGATCGTGTATGACGAGTTCAACGAATAAAACATCTGGTAACTAGCAAAAAAAGGTGATGACAAAAACGAGTAAGACAATGAAACAATAGAGCTGAAAGGCAGTCCGTGAGCGTTCCGATAAAGAACCATTACAAAAATCGCGATCGTAACAGAAACAGATGCGACTTCGATCCGATACGCGTGTACGACAGCCTTCTGGAGCACCATCGTAATTTTGTGCATCGTACGGAAGACAGGTTAACGCCAACGCTGGCAGTGACCTGGACGAACCTGGATACTTCTCTCTGAAATCACTCTTTTGGGTTCAGAAGAAAACAACAAACACCACTATAGGTAGTCAGTCTGTATGAATCGCTAGACTTATCTAGTCTTGAGCAATTCTTTTATAATATTTGGTTTATGATCATTAATAATGATATTGTGACAGAGATATTGAATGCTGGGAATGGCAATGACAATGAGTACAATTAGCACGTTTTGCGGCTACCAATAGTTTCTGGATTGTTTTCATTACTTTTACGTTTCCACCGTATAAATTCATGTTATTAAAATTTTTACTCATGCTTATTACAATTGTCACTGTGTCGTGGTTGTTTACTGTCGAAAATGCTCTTATAAATGGAAACGCTGAAAATATGCATGCACAACCTGACTATCCTAATGCAAGCGGCACCATCGCATTGATCACAGTCTCTCTGATCGCAATTCATTCCCTCAAAACACTTCAGGCAATCAACTGAAATCCAACTTGATCAATTCCACTCTCGAAACTTGATCACAATCATAAAACCGTAAGTAAACCAACCAGTGAAAATGGCAAGTTGAAAAAGAAGAATGATGATAACATAGGCGATCAACATGTGCTATGAAATCGCATCTCATTGCTCAAAACAGCATTTTCAACAGCTCCCATGCAATGGTGTCGCATTAAGTAAGTTGTTGTATGAATCCAAAACGACAATGATCTTTGATGTGTGACAACGCCAATGTGAGAACACTGATTTTTTCCTAAAATTTCAAGTTATATGATATTCTCACAAAGAAACTGAATCATCCACTAAAAATTGTCATCGTCATACATCCACACAACATCTACGAACAAATCATCTGTAATTGTCGACATTATATGGAACGTTTCGATTTTATTTACGCAATTAATGAGCAACAACTCTCGCATAACGCATTTACACTCAACAACAATCGTAATTGTTTATCAGCTCATGTCATTGTATTGATGAAGTAAATAGGGTTTCATCAGGCAAAAGAGATACCTACCTCAGCAATCACATTATGTGCTGGTGGTGGTGGTATTACTAATCCTAGAAGAATTTGACGCAAATGTAATAGATTAGCGGATTAGCGAAGAACTAATTAAATAACAAAAGCAAGAGAACTGATCGATGGAGCGAAACGGATGAACCCTTAATTTACAGAGAGTACGAAAATAAATGAAACGAAATAATAACTACTGCTCATTTTGAGATGTCATCCGAGGATGCAAGCAGATGTTTGTGATGGAACGACAACAGAAACTGAAACATAGAAGTGTAATAAGTTCGTTTATATTCAGATGAATATAGTCATGCATAAATAACTAAATGATGAATAGTAACAAAAGAAGCGCACATCTAACTTGCTTTTACTAATTACTAAACGAATGTCGTAAACGAGTAAAGTCTCGTCGCATAAGAATGCAAAGCACCATGTCTATCACAGAGCAATCATGAATAAAGTGATAATAGCACAAAAAAAAANTTGTCTTCGTGCAACAGTCATCAATGTGGAACGTTGTGAAGAGACACTTAATTATCTTGGTTGAATTCTCTCGGACGGATGGACGCGTGTTTTTCCTCGAGAGGAAGTGACGAAGGTGTCAAAAACTGATGCTAAAATATGCTCGCGATATTGCAGTTTGCCTATGGTTTGAAGAAATTTATTCAGTGAATAAGTTTGCAGGACAAACAGACTCGTAGTCTAAGGACAGGTGGTTTTTAAGAGATATTTGAAATATTTGTGCGTGTCCCTGAGCTATCGAATTAAAATGGATTGCTATCGCAGGAATATATTCTGAATACACTGATAATCAACGTAAACTGACGTGTAACGACTTATTAGCGCACATTAAAATCTAGCATCAATTCATCTGGAATTGTCGCTTTCAAAACCAATAACGAATTCAGATGAAAAACCAATAGCGATTCTCAGCTGAATAGATACAATGAGAAATACTGCGAATAAATGCATCCTATAACACATTCAAACAATCACACTAAACCGTGAATTCAAAGAGAATTATCCAGTGCTAATGAGCGTCAACATTCGGTTGTCTTTACGGATCATTTCGGTTACAACAATCATTTCACCCTTCACAAAATTACACCGATTGTATTCAGTTATTCATCAAGAAGCACTTTTGAAATGTATCCACACTGATGTGAGATTAATGATAATTTCCATGCCGACTCTCTTGAATACGTGCTAATATCTTTCAACTCAACAAATTAACTCATCATGCGATACGAAAATGAAATGAAAATTATAAAACTGGAAAAATATCAATGATGCGATTTATACCATGAACTTTCTGAACCGAATTTATTTAACCAAATAAAACCGAAAGCACCACTGTATACTAGCGTCAACATTGGAATTTCAAATCATAAAAATTTTTGATTCTGAAAAATTTTATGTGAACAAAAATGTACTTATAATGAACTAGCGAAACAGAAGAATATGGCAAGAAAAGAAGAACGTATCGAAAAACCAATCTTCACTGAATAATGTGTGCACTTTCATAACAGAAAAAAGGCAATGTGCAATGAATCGACTGAAAGTCTCAGTTTAAACAAATTGATGTCGGGACGAACACTTCAATTTATTCGAGTTATCTCGAAACCAAGATCTGCAGTTCCCAATAGCTAATTACAATGTGCTCAACCGAAGAATAAAGAAACTTCATTCGATAATACTGCATATTACTCGGATTCGGAATACTCATTGCAGTCTCCGATTGGANAAGAATAACCGAACAGAGCAAGTCAATGCTTTCAATTATCATTCTCATGCAACATTCATGCATTCAGCATAGAGATAGATACCATATAGGCTCAGAAGAATAACCGTAACTTTAAATGAATTCATTAGATAGGGCATAGAAGCGACTCGTTTTCATTCGCACCGATGATAATTCCATCGATCTCGGAAACCGTTTGCTCTACTCCCGAATGGAGTTCGCACTGAAGGGATCCGAAGAATTTCGAGTTAAATTCGATGTTGACCACATCGTCGAACAACTCTTATGGTCGTAACTCTGCGCGATTTCAAATCACCTTATTAGCATCGCTTACCAACAACTGAATGAACTCATTCTCCTTATAGCGCCTCGTTCATCTTCAGTATCGTTTCAGTCTCTTGAGAAAGAGAAAGCAGCTCAGGGACCGCCTTAAGAGCATATGTACTACTACTGTTCTTTGCCTCTTTGTTAACCTTACCTCGTTAACTCGATTGAGCGCATGAATATCGTTTATCGAACGAGTTGAGTTATGACATGCTATCGGCTTAGACGTCAAATTTGAATTGCTCAATTTTTTATTCAATACCCAACCAAAATGATCGTTTGCTGAGCAATAAAAATTCAAAAATATTGAATCAATTTGCGAATGATTTATTGATTCAAAACATGGTTACAGTCGTCAACAAACACACACACGCAAACGCTCATCGTCAGATATGAGTTGCCATCTAAAAATATAATGCTTCTAACAATTGAAGGTAATTGTGACATCTCATATAAAGAATATCATTTTAATACTATTGATTACCTTCATCAAACGGATGCTAAGTGCAAAGCTGTTGAATGCTATCATAAGCCTTGGGCCTACACAAGTAAAATGTGCACGAATNGAATAGATGACAATTTAACATGAAATTTCATTCGTTCATGCCAAATCCATCTTATACAAATGTTGCTCTTTTCTATGGTGAGTCGAATCTTAGTCATGCGCTACCGCAAAATCGACTTCATTGACACGATGTTGACGACAGAGATGTGAGTCGTTGATCAAGAATATTGGCGTGCTTTCTACTCATTCATTCTGTTGAAGCATTTAAAAATTGCGAATTCTTGTTTGAAGCTAGATGTTTTCAATAAAAATACCGCCGTCGTTAATCAAATTGTTCCACTCAAAAACCTCACACCCTGAGAGATTTCGCACAGCAAAAGGACAACTTTGGCTTCTCCAAAGTGATACATGTATGATTCTAATAGTGATTATGGAAACATAAGAGATCTGTATCATGATGAGTACGTCAACTTTGGGAATATATTTCGCTATGGTAACCAACCATACCGATGATCATATCTATGCGATGACGCAGACAGAAAATTTTTTAGGAACATATAGAAACTTCGAACTTTGAATGCGATACTCCAGTCGACTGATATTGAGCACGATCGAGAAGACCGAAGACTTTTAATGAGAATGTTCATTAATAGTATTCTTACAACTTCCGAAAAGGGAATGCTCAGGAACGTTGATCCATCCTAGCACCCTGATCCACCCAAGCGATCACTTATCGCTAGTCACCAGAGTAATTTTAATCCTAAAAATTCCGCGACTGTTTCACGAACGGAATGAATGATCAATTGGTTCAATTAAATGGCAGCATTGAATTCATCGAGCACATTGATTATGAAAGAATTCAGAATGTAAGCTTAATCTTTTATGTGATGCAATCAATACATATAATGTGCAGCAGCGTTAAGGCATGCAGAATATGTGAATAATAGTTTAATGAAAGACTTGATTATGCCCAAAAACAAAGCAAAAAACGATAAATCAGCAGACTAATCATAGGTTTCACAATGCTGCTTGGTGCTTGTCGGAGTAGAAGCAAATTCAACACATAGCNTGGGCTAATTTAGAGCATTACTTCTACTCGAACACGAAATTTTTATTTGGATGACTATAACAAAATGAATTTTGTTGCATATTTTGGATTGAAAATTTTGATTATGGTAAATGCGGGAATCAACATGTTCGAAAGGGATGGTTCCAGTCGAGAGGTATTTCACAGCAATTTGTTGTTTGTTGGAATTTTAATAGTTCACTAGTCGTTTCATGGAAGAGAAAGGAAATTTTTCGATCAGATCACACACTGCTCCGGCTGTTAGCGATTTCAACACTTGCATTTGCATTTGCATTGTTTGCATTGTTGGTGTTTCGATCCTCTGAAAACTTTTCCAGACGACGCCATACTGCAGTGACATTCTTTGAGAATTGCGCTCTCAGCTGATTCACCAAAGTCAATCGATTACGAAAACAATCTGCGATAGTGACGAAGCTTGGTCGTTCGTCCTCTCTAGCGAAGCATTCTTGCATCTGTTGAGTCATCTCTGGTGGCATATCTACGGAAACGAATGAAATTCTTTGCATGACATTCCACAGAAATGTTAACAGAAGTCGATAGAGCAGAACACTTGAGAACATTAAACAACAATTATTTTTCAGGTTGACGTTGTTCTCTTAACCACTAATAATCTGTTAAAAATAACAGTGCTTTCATTTGAACAGGTGATAGGACTCTGTGAACGGCTGGTGGACTCGAAATAATTCGTCGTAAAATCTTGTAAGTGATGGTTAACATTTCAGTAGGTCATTCTAATGAGAATGCTAAGGTCATTAGCGGAGATAATAAAACAAATTTGATAGCAGCGTTCGGAGATAATACAAAATCAAAACAGATCATAATAATCGGAAAAGCGGTAACCTGGAGGTGGCGCTAACCGCAGTCCTTCCATGAGAATCTTTTGTCGGAGAAGCGTGTCGTTATTTATGTCATTGTATGGAACTTCTCCCTGAAAACTTTTCGCATCAACTTTTTCATTGGATAATTGAAATTCAACAGAACAAAACGAATCGCTCAAGAGTTTTCCGATGGAATTTGATGCGAACAAATGTCTTGAGTCAAAGTAAATTGATTGAAGAAACGAAAGCGATAGATACGCCTGAATAAATTTCCCAAATCAAAACTCCATAGCTCCACACATCTGATCTCGAGGCATAAATGCCATATTGTAGTGTTTCTGGTGACAACCATCTGCAAGGCCATCTCGCTTCGAATTATTACTGTAGATCTTCAGCTAATGCTCAAAAATTCGCCATAATTCATGGTGTACCAATGAATAGCCATATTTTTTGTACATGAAATTTTCTCGAACTTCT